GAACTAGTATACCTGTTGCTCGAATTCAAGCAATTGCTAAGTATTACAGGCGTTATTTTAAAACGAATAAACAGTCATAACTTCTGATGACTTTAAAAGATTCGACTCAAAGATTATTGAAATACTCAAGATGTACATATAACAACGATCGATATAATCAACATTTCTTGTAAATATCTTATCATTTTTCAAAAGCTGATCTTGTTTTTTAGTGTTTTATACAAATAGCATTAGTCATAGCCACATTAGGTTGTCCATAATAACTAACGATTATAAATTCTAAAATACCCCCGCCGCAGCAAACCTGCAGACTAAGCGAATTTCCATTTGATTTACACTGAAATGTCTACTTAAAAATATAACATTTATTCCCGATTTAAATAGAATTAGTTTAACAAGTACTTAGGTTTGCTGCATCAGGGAGGTAAAACTGTTTTTTTTTTATGTTAATAGTTAGTAAGAAATAAAAACATTTTTCAAATTTGATCAAAATATGTTCATAAACAAGCAAACTACAACAGTTTACTTATTCTCCATAAGAATAACATGGGAATTTTAAATTTACAATTTTTTGGAATTTTCTCCGTAACCATTAGGCGCATAATAACGCTTCAATATACTAAATTATTTGTTTTTTTAAGCTCTACAAAATGGTTTGGAAAGAAATTGCTAAATTTTATGTTTTTTGGGTCAAAAATGCGAAAAACCTATTTTTACCCCATAAAACCCCCCGTAAACCCCCGTTCCCATGGTCCGATCATGCTGGATCGCGAACTCGTTCGAATAAACGTAGGTTTACACGTTTGTACCGAATTTCATCAAAATCGGATCATTTTTGCTCGAGTTATCGTGCTAACGGACACATATATATATATATAAATATATAAATATATAAATATATATATATATATATATGAATTTGAACGGATGGTGTTTTTGGTCTCTAGGAACCTCAAAACGAAAAAAAAATCGGTCCCGCGTCCAGGTCTTACCATGAGTACTACGGTAATAGCTTATTCCCTATATGGGAAATTCGCTAAAAGAAACATTATTTATATTTCTTCTCCTTGGTGATGTTCTATGACATTCCTATCTTACTAATATTATAAATCTGAAAGTTTGTTAGTTTGTGTGTTGCTCAATCATGCATAAACTACTAGATGGATTGGGCTCAGTGGCGTAACAAATTTTTATGTATTGAAATACTCAAGATGTACATATAACAACGATCGATATAATCAACATTTCTTGTAAATATCTTATCATTTTTCAAAAGCTGATCTTGTTTTTTAGTGTTTTATACAAATAGCATTAGTCATAGCCACATTAGGTTGTCCATAATAACTAACGATTATAAATTCTAAAATACCCCCGCCGCAGCAAACCTGCAGACTAAGCGAATTTCCATTTGATTTACACTGAAATGTCTACTTAAAAATATAACATTTATTCCCGATTTAAATAGAATTAGTTTAACAAGTACTTAGGTTTGCTGCATCAGGGAGGTAAAACTGTTTTTTTTTTTTTTTTATGTTAATAGTTAGTAAGAAATAAAAACATTTTTCAAATTTGATCAAAATATGTTCATAAACAAGCAAACTACAACAGTTTACTTATTCTCCATAAGAATAACATGGGAATTTTAAATTTACAATTTTTTGGAATTTTCTCCGTAACCATTAGGCGCATAATAACGCTTCAATATACTAAATTATTTGTTTTTTTAAGCTCTACAAAATGGTTTGGAAAGAAATTGCTAAATTTTATGTTTTTTGGGTCAAAAATGCGAAAAACCTATTTTTACCCCATAAAACCCCCCGTAAACCCCCGTTCCCATGGTCCGATCATGCTGGATCGCGAACTCGTTCGAATAAACGTAGGTTTACACGTTTGTACCGAATTTCATCAAAATCGGATCATTTTTGCTCGAGTTATCGTGCTAACGGACACATATATATATATATATAAATATATAAATATATAAATATATATATATATATATATGAATTTGAACGGATGGTGTTTTTGGTCTCTAGGAACCTCAAAACGAAAAAAAAAATCGGTCCCGCGTCCAGGTCTTACCATGAGTACTACGGTAATAGCTTATTCCCTATATGGGAAATTCGCTAAAAGAAACATTATTTATATTTCTTCTCCTTGGTGATGTTCTATGACATTCCTATCTTACTAATATTATAAATCTGAAAGTTTGTTAGTTTGTGTGTTGCTCAATCATGCATAAACTACTAGATGGATTGGGCTCAGTGGCGTAACAAATTTTTATGGGCGATAAACTGTTTTTGGGTCCCCTCTCATGAGTTATTTTTAGACCACGATACAACATAATCAAAAGCCCTCCCCCTCCCACAGAGTTATTTTTGGACCACCGATACAATGATCAAACAGATTAATCATAAAAAGAGTGGTAAATAAATTATGAAAAATATTAAATTAAAAAATTAAAATATTAAATTAAAAGGGTTCCATAAAAGGGTGTGTTCAGTATATCAGTCGTGGCTTGATGAAAGTGTTACATCACTACATCATTATATCAATATTAGGGTTTGTAAATAGTTTTGAAATCAAATTAAAAAAAAACCTTATTTTCCATCCGTCTATCAGAATGTTAATACTGTATCAAGGAGGTTAAAAATTTTAAGTTTAATTTAAATCACACATGTTATAATTTTTTTTACCCTGATAGGCCTAATTAGACTAATTCGTTAATTACAAGGCAAAAATGTGGTTCGAATTCCCCTATTAACCCCCTTAGGCCCCTTAATTGCCTTTTGCTGTATTGGCTATTAATTAACATCTGTGTCTAAGGAATATGTCGGCCTTAGTCCCATTCAAAACTAAAAGTTTGGGCCACTCATCCTACACTCATCGCCATTAATTCTTGGCTTAAAATACCTACATTGGTATGGTCGCCATTTCAAAATAAAGTATTAATGTCAATCAATCAATTATTTAAGATGGGGACACCACTATCTGCATATTTTAACCCAAATATGAGTGAAGGATGAGAAAGTATTAATTTATTAGGCCTAGGTTAGTTTAATCTTTGGTTATAATTAACTCATACACTAAAAGCTGGTTAATTTAATAGATTGACGTACTTGTATCACAGGCTAAAATAGCCTATTGCATTTTTTATTTTATCTTTGTATGGATTTCAAGCGTCTTATGTTGTAAGCGTTTATCTTACAACAAATGTCTTTAGTATTTGTTAATTGAGAGGTAAAATAAGATACGGGATAACAAACACCGTCAGTAGAGTAGCAGTATATTGTATTTAACAAAATACAATCAATATTACCGGTAGCACAAAACTAAAATGTAAAATGGTACAATATTAAAAGCCCCAGCCAACGTTCATGACTCCAGGCTCCAAAGTAACAAAATGTTTGCAGACGACATAAGCAGTGTACGAAATCACCGTGAAGTAAAATACCGTATTTCTTGGTGACGAAAGTAAGATTGCATAATAATTAAAGAGCCACGTTACAACAAGTTAAATTTGTTACCCTAGTTCGTTATCACTGAAGAGGCCTAACAAAATGAAACAATAACTCATAAAACAACATATTATTAATAACATCAATGTTATTACTTGTTCAATACAATTATTGAATGATTGATAATACATTTAAATAAGAATGAACTCTAATTTTTCGGACCCACTCGTCTCACGGGCCTCTCTGCTCGGCGTTTCCCGCTCACCGGTTCGCGGGCTCCCTCAGCTCCAGGGCCCCCCCCCCCCCCGCATTGCGGGCCCTTCTGTTACGCCACTGATTGGGCTGAAATTTGGCATGATGATAGCTCACATTCCCGATTAACATTTAGGCATATTCTTATCTCAAAAATCCTTTCGGGCTCCGCCCCAGTGGCTCTGTAGTTTCCCATGTTAACCTTATGAGTACTTATATTTAAATGGAACTAAAGAATCTTACCAGCTGGTTCAACTAAACAATTTGATTATGTGATGTTCAATAGCATTAAAAAGTTATTAGGTTTACCAACAGGGTGCAGCACTATTATTATTTTTTTTATTATGAAAACAGCTAATTTGCAACCAAAAGGTGAGTGAGCGTAGCGAACAAACTTCAACCTGGAGGCAAGTTAGCGCAGCAAACGAGCTAAACCAGAAGGCAAGTGAGCGTACAGCACTATTAATTATTTTTGCATTTAAGACAACAGATAATTTGAACCAAGCAGCAACAAAAAGCTGTGAGAACTTTACTTTTTTGATTGTTTAGGTGCAGTGGTAGAACATTATGGCTATGGTAAATGTGCTATACTATGATATACCCTATATTGTAGTAAACCACATTTTCTTAAAAAGTTTCCTCTCCCATTGCAAACGCAAAGCACGAGTATAACTACAATAAGCATTTTATACTTATAAGCCTACCCAGTACGAAGGACAGGTACTCTGCTAGTACATCATATAAAACTTTAAACAGTTAAAAATTCAAAATGCAATGACTTTTTTACTGTAAAAATCGGCTGCTGAGAAACAACATTTTATGGTAATAATAATCCAAATTTCAACATGGCGTCCATTTAAAAGTCACCAAAGAAAAAATCTAGCCACTAAATCAAAATTATTCACGGTGTCAATATCACACTTAAAGCAATTCAAAATTCAAATATAATGGCAGTTTAATTATTGTAAATATAGGTTAATAAATAAAATTAATCAAGTTTTGACAGTTTGTAATAATGATCCTTTAAAAAAGGCAACTATTTAAAAATTGCATTCCTTACAAAACTGCTTCCATTTCCAAAACACCTTAACTGATCAAAGGTATATGCTTTACCAATAATAAAAGCGTTTGGTTCAGATATTAGTCCTTCCTGAGCAAAACTACTGACTAAACCCCTTACAAATACTAATGAAGACACAAAAAGGCAAAGGCTACCAACACTGTGTACAACTTTACTTGGAAGCAGGTGAACAAACAAATTGACTAACTAATCATAAAAGTTATGTTCTTATTTAATTCTCAATTGTGTGTTGAGATCTAAATATAATATAAAGCAAACTCTTCAATTAAATTCATCAGAACAATTTAATGTCTCAAATTTGCAAACTGAAACATATGCGTAGGAGGTCCTATTCAACATCCACCTTCCTTGGTATTTCCTTCTCTGAGGTTTTTGGTTTAAGTACAGGTATTAGATAGTCAGTATTGTCACCGGTGCATGGTGATAAATTAGTCTAGTTAAAGGTTAAATCTAACAATTATTTTATATTGAAATAATATTAAGGACATTTTGAATTGAAACCTTAAAATAGTGTTCTGTTTTGTACCATCTGTCTACAATTATTATTGTATTTTCCCTTATTTATCACCCTATCGTAACAAAGGACTTTAATATTAAAATAGTTACATTAATTTACACGAATAATTAACACTATTAACAGTTAGAATTATATGCATGGGGTTATAAGTTAACATCCTTAAAAAATATCTCTAAATTTGAAACTAAAATCTTAACTCAATTTTAATACTCACTAATACTGTAGTTGTATAATGAATTGAAACATTTTGAGTGAATTACTCTAAAACTACGACTGATACTAACCACACGAGCAAATTTTATCTTAACTATTCCTATTCTTCTAGTTTTCTATCCTCACATTGGTCTGAATCGCTATCGATGAGGTTTCTTGGGACATCTTCAAAGCTTGGAAACAAGTTTAAAACCATTGGGGTGTTTGATCTTGATGAAAAAGGACTGTTATTAGGTGCTCTACCTGATAGTGGTTCAATATTGCTAGAGGTTTGAGAGAATGGAGTTGGTCTTGGTGAAGGAACAAAATCTTCTGCCATAAAGTGGACTCTGTGTTCTAATGATTCAGTTAGACTTTCTTGAAGCCAGATGTTTCTCTCATGATTTGACTCACCTCCACTGTTTCTAAATTTACTGCTCTTGTCAAACACTGGAGGGAGATTTTTAGAATCATCATGACAATCAAAAGATCTCCTAGAAGAGAAAAGTGATGTTTGCTGGATTGTAGGACCAGGAGACCTGAAACCTGACTGAGTGTGATGCTCACAAGGACTCTTGAGGTTAATTATAGATTGTTCAGTAGTCGTAGGTGAATTTAGCAGGGTATGTGTAATGATTGGTGATTTTATCCTATAGTTTAATAAAGACACATCTTCATTATTGGTCTGTTGAATTTCTGATTCAAACTTGTGATGAAGACTTGTAAGAGGGGTTTCTACTGAGCCTGGAGTTTGATGTCCAAATTGCCAGCTATTGATTGGTGAGTTTTCTTCTCGATTATCATTTCTGATTGATTCCATGGATGATGCTTTAGATGAATTTCTAGAGTTTATTCTAACGTTTTCACCAGATTTTGAAGAATAACTAATACGTTGAGATTTAAGGTCTAAAGGCACTTTGAAAGCATGAAACATGTGTTCATTAGGATTCTTAGGGTTAGAGAATTGTGAACTTGGGCTTACGTTGGAAAGGGGAAATCTGTTTTCAGGTCGGGATTGAGATGAATTACGAACATTTGCACCTATATCCTGAATATTAGGGGACACATGAAGTGGCGAGTGTTCACTACCTGATCTAACCAATGCTGATGTCTTACAAGGGGTTGGTGATATTCCTTGTGTAACCTTACTTTGGTTTGACCTAACAGAAAGTGCATCATCTTGATCAGATTGATAAAGATTGGTAAGCAGTTCTGGTGATCTTGGGTCATCATGTACATGTTCATGGTTGATATTTGACCCAGTGCTACCTTCTGAAATCTCACTTACATCACTTGCATGTCTATCACCAACATCTAGACCATATCTTTTTCTTAGCTTCATCTGAATTTTTGATACATCTGCCAAAATAAATCTCTTATCTTCTAAGAGGTAGAGTAACTCTTTAATATATTCCTGATCTTCCTCAGCGTCAGTTTTCTTTTCATCGTGAACTGGTGTCTCCTATTCATCATAATGAAACCATTACATTCTGCAACTAAACTATGCAATATAAAAGGTACAACATTATTTTTGAGAAAAAAGTCACATGAGATTGTAAATGTCAGACCAGACCAGCAATGGATAAAGTAATAAAATGAGGGAGGAGGGCAGTTCAGAGAAGAACATTTTGAAGAGTTGAAAATATATAATATGTGATGTGTGTTTGAGTGAAACTGATAGTACAACTAATAAATAAAACTAGTGCACTTGTTGCTCGAATTTGAGCAATTGCAAAGTATTACAGGCGTTACTTCAAAACGAATAACAGTCATAATTTCCGATGACTTGAAAGAGTAAACTCAAAGATAATTTAATCAATCACTCAACTTCAGTTGTCCAAACTGAAACCGAACTCATTCTGAAAACGAACACTCTTGTGCGTATAATATGTTTACTATGAACAGCTGTAATTATTACAAAATATTCGTCTGTTTAAGTAAACAAAATCTTTTCATCATAAGACATACATTGGGATTTTGATGGCCTGTGGGGCAAAGCCCGAGGGCTTTTATTACAGAAATTGGTGAAAGGGGGCGTCTACACAAAAAATACTTCATTTTGACACATCGTTTGTAAAAATCTGTCCATTATTATCGGAGGAGTAGTGTTTCGTAGAAAACGCCTTCACGTGTTATATATAAGGATATCATTAAAATAAATAATTGATGTAAGTTTTGGAAATTATTTGTAGGTCCTGAGAATGTTTTGGTTGAAATTGGTGATTTTAACAATAACAAAGATCCTTAATCTCCAGTTCCAATATTATTTAAGAGTTACTATCTCCACGAAATTGACATTGAATGCCTGTAATATGGTTACAAATACTGAAAATACAAAATAACAAATCAATGTAATAATTAGTTACAAAGCAAAAGCTGGATCGTGAATGTTGACTTCAAAATGAAGTGGTACAGTACTGCAGTGCATACAGTATAGAGGTTGACTTGACAAGCACATGATGTGAAGATGAATGTTTGGAAGCAGAATTTAATATGTGGATTAAGTAAAATTTACATTCCATACTATAGGTCAAATTATATTTTTAAATTATCCAACCCATTTTAATTCTATCTAGTTTTGCATTCATTTGGGAATATTTTTATAACTATAATAGAGGATAGAAATTTCTGGTTAGAGGAAAAGCCAGAATAAAGTTACACAATTTTTATTAAAGTTGATTAAATGTTTAGGTGTTTTGTAACTACCTAAACATTTAAGAGATGTTTTGATGAATATAATACCTACAGAAGCAAATGTAAATACTAAAAACAGTTACCAGTTTATTCTTAGTCAGACTGTCATACAACTCCTGGGCCCTCCGCAACACTAAGGTAGGAAGAGCTGAGAGCTGAGCAAGCTTCAAGCCATACATCGCTACCTTGGTGACTCCTGGCATCAACTTGTGTGTGTATACCAATCTGCCGTGTGCTCCGTCCTCTGCTACCATCTGATGACTTATAAAGTCAAACATCATAATATGTAAGCAAATTGAACTATATGGAATCTAAAACATCTGTTGACCCTTCTTCCAAACAAGCTGCTGTTGACTTTCCTCAGCAATTACTCACAGGCCTGAAGATAGGTCCTCAGTAGCTTACGGTACATGTCACACACTATCATAAAGGTTTTGTATCACCAAGCTGAACAAAATGTGATCGCATCATAGACTAGGGATGCAATAGATTGTTATATACAGTCCAAGCAACAAGACTTATGTCATTGGTACCTATCATTTGTTCTATAGCCCCATTGACTGTGGTGGTTGTTAAGATTACCAATAGTAATCACGGGTTGGTTAAACATGGGGAGATCCCGCGGGAAAAAAGGCGAGAGTCACTTTTCTGTAATTTTTGAGGAGAGCACTTTTTGTGATTAATTTTGTCACAGTAAATTTGTCAATAGAGTAAAAGCTTTGAAATTTGGCATATCTTTGTTACTGCAGGGTAATAAAAAAACTAATTTATCAATTTTAACATTTAAAAGTGGTAAACTACATAAAAACTTGTGCAAAAATGGCGAGTCTCATAGGTTAAAAACCAGTCAATGCTTTCAGTGAGGCAGGTTGTTTGGAAAAATTTTTTCCTCAGGAAAAAAAATGCTTCAAGTTCATTAAATCTTTATATTTTGCATCTGGGACTAGAATCTTTTATTAAAAGAATTTGTTGGCTTTTGTATTCAGCAAACCGATTCCTAAATATTTATTGTTATAGGCATAGCCTATTGGGTATCAATTTAAAGCTCTTATCCTGTAGATGTGCCTTTAGTGGGTTTGGATTTCCCCTAAAAGCCCATTGCCCTATAGGCTTTTCAAAATTTCAGAGTTTGTACTGAATTCTGTTTTCCTCTGTTACAATCACCCACTGTAGTGTGATTTTTTACTTTACACTTTACACAACCACCATTAAAGCGCCGTCAATGAGTGGAAACCTTGTTTGTAAGCTATTGGCGACGATCATTAATAAATTTAAGATTCCCAGCCCTATACATCACTGATTCAAGGTCTTCTTACTGGTTATCAAAACTCAAGAACAATTTTATACACAAAGAATCTCTGGTTCCTGACTTGGATGATGACTAGTTATTTAATTTCACTTACGGTTACACTATATTATTGCACTTGCAATAATAATTAAATCCGTTATGTTAGAAAAACTTTTTTAATATCACTTGGTTGGGATTTGCTTTCAAAACGTGATTGGAAATGGTTGCGGTATTTGTAAACAACATTTGTAAACATATCAGTGACAGCTAGAAAAATAATCTTGATCAGAACAGATGTTCGTTATTTAATAGATGATTAGGTGATAAAAATTGGACCAAAACTTGACAAATATCGCACAAAACTGCATTTTTGAATGTCTGTATTTTATTTACAAAGTAGTGAGGCCATATTTTTTTTTAATTAAAGACACTCTCGCCAATCCAGTGAATACATTAAAATGACTTGGATCTTGATAGATACTCTCGTTTTCCTGGAGAAGATAGCGTAAAATGCCATCTTGAGTGTTACAGACACACAGAAAGACAGACATACAGACATACAGACAGAAATAGAGATAAGACTTGTTTCTGCTTCTTTAATGTATAAAACATAAAAATATTTGTAAAGAGTAGGTTTATAACAGAGCGAAGGATTACTATAGTTGTTACCTACTTGGATACATTTGGATATAGAGTCTGAAGCTTGCTGAGTGTGTGGTAATGTGTAGTGAAGAACACAAAGGCTTTAGACTGTAGAAGTTGTTCACACAACACCCATGCTACTGCTGTGCCCTCCTCACTATCAGTGCTGCGACACAGCTCGTCAATAACTATCAGACACTCTGACCTGGCAGATCTCAGGATGTACTGCATCTCTTTCATCTGACAAGTATTATGATGTGTTTAAAATTATTTGAGAAATTGCATTGAAATCAAATCACAAGTCCATATTCAAAATAACATAGATAACTTTATTTAACTGTTACAAGTGTAACAAGTTAAGTTATGAGGTGTAAAAATTTGCTTTGTTATCTAGTAATCCCTTACAATTTTATAAGACTAGTATATTATAGGGAGAACAGAATAAGTTGAGTCATGCAAATACCGAATTAGTACTGAACATTTAAGAGTGGTCATAGCACTTATTGAAGTCCATCCCAAACACAATAATGTTGTAAACAAATGTGTTGAACTTCATTATTTGTTTTTATTTGTATTAAAACAAAATTGGTTTATAACAATTTCACTACAACATTTCTTAAAATGCTGATTAATTAATTTTTTTACATTAATTGCTAAGCATGTTTCAAGGTTTAAAAAAAATATTGTAACAAAAGGACTATTTTGTGTCACTATTTGGGAAGTTACCTCCATAACAAAACTGGAAGCATTATATTCTATGCTGTCATCAAACCCCATACGGGAGAGTATTTGTTTGGTGATCCTAAACTTCGCTGACTCGGCAGGGACAAAACATCCAATCTGCAACAAATATGATTTATAATAATTGTATAGGGCCTATTAAAAAATCTGTGCATCATATAATAATAAAACACAGACCTACACTACATTGATAGCCAAGGTAGCTGAGTGGTAAGAGTGTTTGCTTTAAAAACTGAGGGTTTCTTGTTCGATCCTGCCAAGGCTCAGTAATTACTTGTCATTTGGCTATTAATTCAATTCTTTCCAACAACAAGTCATGTGTTCTATGGCCTAGTAAAAAAACAGTCTTAGTAACATTCCCTAACAATAATAATAGTATAACAGCCTTTAGAAAACTCAAATACAAACATAGGAAAAGTCTACATGACCGATTGTTGCTCTATTGTTTAAGTTAATAAGCCAGGAAAAAATAGTAAAAAAATATGAGATGTACGATTGTTAAAATTAATAAATATGCAGTAATATACATTATGTATCTACGGATTAATATTTATTTTTAAGAAGACAAATATAAAATCTATTGTCAAATAGTCAAAGGTAAATATACCTTAACATGCTATCCCCATGTTAAAGCTTTCGCCAGTTTTAGCGAATTTCCCTATAGGGAAGTAGCTATTCCCTAGTAGCACAAATATATATTAAATACATATGAATAAATATATTTAAAATCTATTTTATATATCTCAAGTGTGTATTAATGTCAATTTTATATAATATTTAAAATATATTAAATATATAAAAAATATGTTTTTGAATCTATTAAATATAAAAAAAATATGTTCCAATAATATATTTTAGTGAATAATATTTAAATAAAAAATGTATTTAATATCTCTTCCAAACATCCCATGGGGCCTAAACATAAAAACACAAAATAATAATGATTTAGTATGAAAAACACAATTATCAGTTGAGTAAATTGATTAAATAGTTCATAAAAACAAATTTTGAAAAAATTACTGGATACAATTTTTTCAGCTCAGGTGGGTCTCGAACCTGGGTCCTTCGACTTATGAGCCTCCTACCTTACCTCTGAGCTACTTGTGACTGTTGTTAGCATTGGTTTTCAAATGGTGAAAGAGTGGCCCTCAGTTGCAATGGTTGCAATACTTGAAATATTTTTGATACTACAGTATAATATGATTCTGTTAATCTGTTTTGGCATCAAGTAGTTGAGTTGAATAGTGCTGTAGTGGATAGTGAGTAGTCTCCACGAATACAAATACAGTAAAGTACAAAAATTAATTTAAATACTATGACAAATATTATGTAATTTATGGCATATGTAAATCAAATAATTATTTTTAGAACGTCATATACAACCCTAATTAGTTTCTTAAAAGGTCGCCAGTCACTAGCACCCTTTTCTAGCCAATCATTCGAGATTTCTATGACCACATTCATTGGCACATATTGCAATTAAAAAAAAATAAAACCCATCAACACTTTTTTTTTGTTTGACCCAAATGTAGCTGTCGAACATGTATACTGCCTCTTAACTATATGCTATTTTTTCTTTACGTGTATGATATAGTGACACCATTCAGAGTACGTATTAATATTAACTTAATTTTAACGCTTTCACAATAGCAATTACAAAAAATGCATGTATAAATTGATAGACACTATAAAAAACAAAAAGATGCAAATTATTTATTTGCTAATTATAAAAGATTATAGGCTATATATTCTACAAATATAATATTATTTTATTAATAAAAATATCTGACGTGTTTCAAAATATATTTATAAATAATTTAAATATATAATATAGTTTCAAAAATATTTTATATATATATTTAAAATATTCTCAACACATAATTTATTTAAATATTTAATAGGAAAAATATACATATAAAATATGTATATTATAGATTCTATACTTGTTTTATCAATATATATTATGAATCTATTTTATATATTCAAAACTTATATTTAATTTATATTTTGCATTGCTTTTTAGTAATATTTTAAATATATATTTGAATATATCAAACTATTATTAAAGATATATTTTATATATATTTTATTCGAGGTTCTATCAAATACAACTTTAAATATATAAAATATTTATAAAATACATATTTGTGCTACTAGGGTTACCGTAGGTGGCATGGTAAGACCTAGACCCGGGACCGATTTACTTTTTCATTTTGATGTCCCCAGAGGCCAAAAACACCATTCGTTCAAATTTTTATATATCTATATATATAATTCTGTAAGACCAAATTTTTACCAGAAAATTGTGGACGTCTGGTAAGTCGCAGAAAGGTGGGAGGGGGTCTTAAATTAAAGGTCTTGACCCCAGGGACTCGGGAAAAATAGCAGAATTCCCATAAAGTTACCAGAAAACGAGATATAACGTAAAGTGTTCTCCATAAGAATATCATTAGAAGCCATTTACTGCCGATTTTTGTTTACTTCAATACAGCTGATCGTGATTTATCATCAAGCCAGTACTCAATGTTAACATTTGGATTACTTAGTTGCCAGTCAATTCAGCAATGTACTATATAAAAAACAAGAAGGGATAACGTTAGCCTACCTATAATAATTAAGACTTTTTAGGTACGTTATAGAATGTTGAAATAAATTATTTTACTGTGAAACTTTTTAAATTTGTGTATTTTTTACTTTTAAAATGAAATAACCCATTGACTAAATAATTAACGATTCATGATTAGGCCTAAATGGTAAACTCCTGCTTTGTTTTTATTTAAAAACATATGTTCAAGATTTATTCTACACGTTCTTTGTAAATTTACTTACATTTGAAATCTGAGATTTATTGTAGTGTTTAATCAATATTTTGTATGAAGTGGAATAAACTCAATGGCCACTTTTAGAAGACAACCTGGGAATAAATATGAAATAGGTTCGTACAGGAAATTTATATTTGTTAATTAAGTAAGTACTATGACAAGTTCCAATGGGAGGAAAACAATATTGTTTGGAGATTTTTAAAAGGTACTGTCTGTCTGCTCTAAGCAAAAGAGGTTAAAATAATATAACCTAGCATGGATGGTACATAATAGCAAATGGAGCATCCACATATAACAGTAAAACCTAGAGGTAGTTCCCGTTGCTTTTCGTTTCTTAAACAAACCAAAAATATACATGTCATTGATGATGAAAAGTAATGACGTTATTGGTAATAAAACCCTAACCAGTCGCAAAAGGGTTAAGAATCAGCCGATGATTAGGCCTAATTTGATGGAATATGTAACGTCCGTTTAAGAGGAATACCACCACATAATCTTACACTAATTGTAGTTTTTTTATGATGACCAGAAAAAATCTAGGGTTAAGTTTGTCAATGGGATGTCTTTACGTTACACTAATGTTGTTAAACCTTAACAAAAGGAGTATAAACTTAGAAATATTGACTGAGTAGGGGATGCTAATTTAGCGGGGATGGCCAAGAACTAAGCTTACTTCAACACACCTTTATTTGGTTTTTTTTTATATTTGACGAAGACAATTTCCAAAATTCCAATCAGAGAAGTCTTTTTTTATTACCATCAACCACAAGACCAAAGCTAACTTAATAAACCAGTATTTATTCAAAAACAATTATATGTTCGCTGCTTTTAGCTGAGTTGAACCTATGTAGTGATTCAAATTATTTATTGAAAATAATATCAACAAAGGAAAACAACAAACTGTTTTTTGCACAAAAGATATGGTGTACAGGGATATCTATTCTGACACATAGATAATATATTTCTGAGTTTGTTTGGATATTAGAATAATTTGTTTTACATTATTGCGCTTTTTAGGGACTTATGTCCCTACAAGCCACTAGTGTATATATATATATATATATATATTAATTTAGGTGTTCACGTAATAGGGCTGCTGATATATTAAATATTTAAGTAAATAAGTACTACTGAGCACCCTGTATATTATATTTTATAAAAAGAAGTAGTGTCTATTGCAATCCAATAATGCTAAGGGGAGGGAGGTAAACAGGTCCGTGACGTAGGAAGTGATGAAGGAAGTAGTAAAGGCGAGTTGTTCGGAGTGTGGGAACAGTTTATGACAATTAGATTAAGGTTCTTTTTATAAAATATAATATACAGGGTGCTCAGTTGTACTTATTTACTTAAATATTTAATATATATATATATATATATATATACGTCCGTGAACTAGAGTAATTTTGGTCCGATTTTGATGAAATTTGGTTTAAAGGAGTAAAGCGGGATAAACTTGAATGAGTTCGCGAACCAGTATGATCGGACCATGGGAACGGGGCTTTACGGGGGGTTTTATGGAGTAAAAATTGGTTTTTCTCACTTTTGACCCTCAAAACACAAAATTTTCCAATTTCTCTTTAAACCTTTTTAAAGAGCTTAAAAAAACAAATAATTTAGTATATAAAAGTATTTTTGTTCGGTTATTAGTAACGGAGAAAATTAAAAAAATTGTTAATTTAAAATTCCTATGTTATTCTTATGGAGAATATTGTCAAATGTTGTTGTTTGCTTGTTTATGGATATATTTTGATCAAACTTGGCAAATTTATTTATTTTGTACTAAGCTATCAATATTTTACTCAAAAACACACTTTATTAGTTTCCTTGTAGCAGCAAACCTAGGTACTCGTTAAACCTAATGTTATTTATTAAAATATATTTAACTGAAAATCAATTCAGACGAATGGAAATTCGCTTAGTCGGCAGGTTTGCTGCGGCGGGGGTATTTTTTATCAAAATCATAGTAGTTGATGTGAGCCACCGATAGATTGTGCTGATCTAAACTACTGATTTACTGATTTATCTTAGTTACTGATTTATTTAGCTTAAAGTTATTTAAATTACTGAATTTTAGTATTCAAATTTGTTGCTTTTTATGTTGCAACCGGTTTCAACTCTGTGGAGGCATCTTCAGGTGTAGCCTACAAGGATAATGTTGTCACTTCATTTGAATCTGAATCTGAATCATCTTTAATCTGATGGCTAAAAATAATGTAACAGTTTCTTTCATATCTACCAATAAACTTAAATCATTATTGAAGGAACGTATGAGCATTATAAGACCAACTGTAATGATTGTCCAAAATACTACATCGGCCAAACCTCCCAATCTTTTAAGGCAGAGAACATTATTATTATTATTATTATTATTATTTTATGGCCAGCATTGGACCACTTAAGCCAACATAATGGTCAGGTTCTTTTTAAATTCTGTCTCTTCTTCTTGTCCGCCCAATACTTCTTCATTCTTTCCGACCGTTGTTTTCTTTCTTCTTCCGAAACCACTCTTCCTTGTCTCTGATTGTTTGCTCCTAGAGTATTGCAAGCACCTCTGACTTATTTTCCAAATCTTCTAATGATATTTTCAACCTTCTCATGTCCTCCTTAATCTCTGTAATCCACCTAAAGTCACTCTTGCTATTCCACAACTTGTCAATTATTTTCTTGCTTATTCTATTTTCCGGTGTCCTTAAAAGATGTCCAATGAATGAAATTCTTTTCTTTTTAATTATACTTGTCAATGGCTCTATTTCCTTATATACAGTTTTATTTGAGGCCAGTCTCCAAACTCCATCTTTTTTATATTTTTTGTTTATACACGTTCTGATGATTCTTCTTTCCATTTTCAGTATTTTTGAGCGAAGCTCTTATACGTCGACTCTTATGCATTTCGTAATACGCAAACTCCTCCTAGACAGCTGAATCAATCGTTTTCAAATTTTGCTTGGTGATAAAGACCATATCGGTGAGTGCCAATCTATATGGCGTTAAAAAAGTCTCTCAGGAATCCGCCCCACTGGGTCTCAAAGTTTCAATGTAATCCTTATGGAAGCAGTATTTGACACATAAAAAAGTCATATGATCAGCTGTTGACTTTTGAATGCAGTAGACAAAGAAATAGCTGATAGCATTATTCCACAGATATTAGAACAGAAACGGTATGGATCATAGATATAATCAAATGACGACACTAGCTTGAGATAGTCCTGAGCTTGAGGTCCGTGACGTAGGAAGTGGTGAAGGAAGTAGTAAAGGTGAGCAGTCTGGAGTGTGGATACTGTTTATGACGATTAGATTTAGGTATCTGCATTCCTAAAATTCTATGGGAAGGGAGGAAAACGAGTCCGCAACGTAGGGAGTGGTGAAGGAAGTAGTCAAGGCACGCTGTCCGGAGTGTGGGAACTGTTTATGACGATTTTAAGGTATTTGCAATCCTAAAATGCTATTGGAAGGGAAGGAAACAGGTCCGCGACGTAGAAAGTGGTGAAGGAAGTAGTAAAGTTGAGCTGTTCGGGGTATGGGATCTGTTTATGACCATTAGATTAAGGTATTTGCAATCCTATGATGCTATGGCAATGGAGGGAAACAGGTCCGTGACGTAGAAAGTGGTGAAGGAAGTAGTAAAGGCGAGCTGTCCGGAGTGTGGGAACTGTTTATGACGATTAGATTAAGTTATCTGCAATCCTAAAATGCTACGAAAAGGGAGGGAAACAGGTCCGTGACGTAGGAAGTGGTTAAGAAAGCAGTAAAGGCGAGCTGTCCGGAGTGTGGGAACTGTTTATGACGTTTAGATTAAGGTATCTGCAATCCTAAATTGCCATGGAAAGGGAGGTAAACAGGTCCGTGACGTAGGAAGTGATGAAGGAAGTAGTAAAGGCGAGTTGTTCGGAGTGTGGGAACAGTTTATGACAATTAGATTAAGGTATCTGCAATCCTAAAATGCTATGGAAAGGGAGGGAAACAGGTCCGTGACGTAGAAAGTGGTGAAGGAAGTAGTAAAGGCTGGCAGTGCAGAGTGGGGGAACCGTTTTGGGCAGTTAGATAAATGTATCTAATACTTAAATGCTATGAGAAGGGAAGGAAAAAGGTCTATGACGTAGGAACTGGCGAAGGAAGTAGTAAGGCTTGCAGTGCAGAGTGTGGGAACTGTCTTTGGCAATTACATTAATGTATCTGCAATCCTTAAAGGCTATGGGAAGAGAGGGAAACAGGTCCACGCTGTAGGGGGTGGTGAAGGAAGTAGTAAAGGTGAGCAGCGTTGAGTGTGGGAATGGATTAATTTATCTGCAATGCTAAAATGTTATGGGAAGAGACTGTAGACTGTAGGTTAAAATGATTACGAAGCACGAATCGATACATATTTCGATACATGCAATCGTTTACAATAGAAATTTACAACTGAGTTGACAACAGCTGATTTTTACTCCATAGAGGCTAAAAACTATTTAAAGAGTAAAAATGCTACTTTTACTGCTACATACGACTGATTTTACTGCAGTATTACAATAACAATATAATGTGAACCCTTGATGACTCCGCTCAATTTTGTGGATGCCTCTGGGAACGCCACCTAGTATCTATTGCTACAGTGTTGGTTGTTTTAAATATAGTTTCACTTGCCTATGTTATTTGTGGAAGTATAACTGCTTTGTAGTGTTTCAATTTTGTTGCTATTGATAGGCATTTTGTGTTGTATGTGTTTTTAGTAATATGTTGCATTCTGATTAATTTATTAATTATATTTTGCCATGATGGATTTCCTTTAAGATTGTAATGTTATAACTTCACCTAAGTATTTGAAATTTTCTACGAGTTTGATGCAATGTTCTCCAATTTTGATTTTGTTAGCCAATGGTGGTTTTGTTACCATTATTTCAGTTTTCTCAAAATAAATTTTTAGACCTATGCTCTGGGCTATTTCCTGGAGTGATTTTATTTGTTGCTTGGTTTCTTGGATTAGCTAGAAGAGCCAGATCGTCAGTAAAGCCTAAACAGTTTAACTTTATGTCATTTTTTGTTCCAACAGTAATATTTTTTGGGTTTGTTTTAAGCCATTCCCTCACAATGTATTCAAGTGCACAGTTAAAAAGAAGTGGTGAAAGACAGAGAACATAATATACCAAGAAAAACAAAATCCCCTCAGTCTTCAAATTTTGCCGATCACCTAGTTACAAATAGTGATAATTTTACAAGTATAGACAAATTTCACTTTTTTTTGCAAGATCGTTTTTTATAGAAATGAAATACATTAGAAGAATTTGAGATTTACAGAACTGTAAGATCTGACAAAGAGAACGTGCTGAAGGACTAATCATGATACTGGTGGAGAGGGAAGGTAGAAGGGAATGCGACTATCGATGATAAGAGATAAGAAGGGCAACGTCATTGACCTGCAGGGGTGGCCGAAAAGTCCCTTTACAAGGTAAATTCAATTGGTGTTGATTAAAACCATAGAAATCTATTTTAGTCAGACATTTATTGTGGACTACACCAATATATTTGCGAATATTTGCTTATCAGTCGTGTTTAAAACAGTGTAATATGTCCTGTAATATTGTGTAAAAGGGACTTTTCTGCCACCCTGTACACACCACCACTCAGAAAGTTGCTCACTGTCTCAGAAAGTTTTTTAAAGTTAAACGTTAGTGTCCCTTTGTTCAATATCCGAGTTAAGTGTTTTTCCGTTAGTAAAAACGATGATGACCTTCAAATGAAGTGTCAACTTTATCCTTGTACGCCTGAAGATGACTCCACAGAGTTGAAACCGGTTGCAACATAAGAATTGAATTTTAAGTATTATACAGTAATCCGGAGGCTAACATCCATCAATATGATTTATTTTGAATACACACACTTTTTTACCAAGTCAAACTGATGGAACGACTTATTGTGAGCTATAGCAGCTGTTATGACACAGCAACTATGCCAGCAACAAAATAGTATAAAATAGAATTTTAAGCATTTAGGGCATTCCAGGACTTGATCACACAACTATGTTCTTTTTTAGTAAAAAATTTATGACAGCTATGGGTGGGATTTCTACTCAGTATCCCCTAAAAAAGCGTAGGCCCTCCCTAATATGCTAATACATTTTGACATAATTTATTTTTGTATTTATAAATAAACTTCAAATTGCTCAGCCAATGACTATTTTTAAACTTTGAAACCTCCAGGATACAACTTGTAGATGAAACCCAAAATTGAATGCGGCTAAAATAAATGAATTTGAATTACCAGTGCTTGGATTAATATCAAATATCTAATATGATACTGATATAAAATTAATTTAACTTATTTATTCATCCAAGTGACCTTATTGTCCATTCAAATAGATTTGATTGGTTGGTATTTAATTTTGACATGTATATTTATGCTTTTCTATTTCTTTTAACAAATACTAAAAAATTTTAACAAACATTTACAAATCTAAGATCAAACCAAGAAACCAATAAACTTTAGATTTGAAGGTGTGCACTAAAACCAATCAGCTATCAATTTATCAAAGTTGTGTTTGATTTGTATTATAATTACATCATTCTTCTTACGTTTTTAGTTTTTGTATTCTAGCTTAACTATTTTGATAAAAATAATGAACAGTAATAGACTTTTATTTTTATTACAAGAGCAATGAGTAGTTGGGATACATAATATTTATAGGGCACAAATTAATGTCTAACCTGGGCCATGACTTGCAACAGTGCCACTTGCTTGATGTAGATGCTTTTACCTCCCATGTTGGGGCCTGTGATGATGTGGAAGTTCTTCTCTGAGCTGGCAAACTGTACAAATTTGGGTGGAAACGGTTTTGTTAAAAAATAATTTCAATTTTCATCTAGGATTGTCCTCTAGAATGGCAGAATCAACAAATAAAGGTTTATAATAGAGTTGTTTTATTATATAAACCTTTATTTGTTGATTCTGACGATCCAGATGCCAATCCACTGAGTTACTGTTGGAACGATCTATTATTATATGTAATCGTGTAATGTAATTTTATGAGATCGTTCCAACTGTAACAAAGTTATAACTTAATTCTTTGTTAATTATTTAAAATTCATGGTGTCATTCGGTTAATTTGAAACCGTTTCCATTGATTGGGAAATTACCTAGAAAGGGTTATTTTTAGGCAGCATAAATAATAAAGGTTTTTTTAGGTTGATTCACAACAAATTTAATATGATATGTTTCTTAAATTACTTAAAACTATTTTTGTTAAATAGCTCAATGATTTGGTTTATATCTAACTTAGAAAACAAGATTAATGCATGTAGATCATTTGAATTGGTAATCAATTTTTGTAAGTTTCTTTTAAATAAGCATTCGCAAACTTTGAAGTCAAAATAATTTCAAGTGAAATATGGATCCTATAATTGACTATACTTTATTTGAAATAAGATTAACTGTTATAGATAGAATGCTTTTGTGTTAACCAATAAACAATTACATAACTCTTAGTAGATAAAAATAACGATTTATCTACTGAGAGATTTATCTATTGATTGATGACATAAATCCATACCCAGATAAGTGTTATGATGCTTTGTAAGTGTAACATGAAATTCCATAAGAAAATTGTTTCAATCAATCCTAACCTTACACTAAATGTCAGGATTGTAATAATTTTGTAACTGACATTATTATTCAACACCTTAAAGCAACAACATTGATATAAAATACACACCACATTGTTAGCAACAGGAGTTGATGCACTAATCGCATCCAATATCGGATGTCTAGAACTTTTCACATCCATTTCATTTCCAAAGTTGGGAGGAGCAAAATGATCAGCTGAACTGACTTGAGAGAACGAGATGAGTAGATCAAGCTCAGAAATTATCTCACATAAATGGTACAAACAGCTTATATGCATCCGCAGCTTTCGTAGTAGTTCTTGCATGATTCTGCAACATTTTAACAGTTAATAATACAATGTTTTTTTTTTATCTTAAGGAACAGAATATTTAGTTTGGATATTTATATAAATTCTAGTTTATTGGCGATTGTAGCTTAGGACCAGAATGAAATTTTAATAGAATAAATAAAATAAATAAATAAATAAAATAAATAAAATAAAAGAAAAAAATATTTTAAAATGTTTGCTAAATCTAAGATTTTAAATGTGGTTCTTGGTTTTTACATGATGAAACAGATTAACTCTAGGATATATTTTACATATATATACATTGTGGGTGAATCCATCAAAGTTCAGATAATTTAAATTAAAAGGAATATATATATATATATATATATATATATATATATATCTAATATATAAAATTCTCGTGTCACAGTGTTTGTCTGCAAACTCCTCCGGAACGACTTCACCGATCGTTATGAAATTTGGTGTGTAAATTCTGTAGGTATGCGAATCGGACGTAAACTATTTCCCGTTTCGAAATTCTTAAAAGGGCTCTGCCCCAGTGGCTCTGGAGTTTCCCATGTTAACCTTATGAGAAATGGAATTAATGAATCTTAACAGCTGTTTCAATTAAACAAGTTGGTTCTGTTCTATGATGTTCAATAGCATTAAAGTTACAAGGATTACCAACAGGGTGCAGCACTATTATTTCTTTTACATTTATGACAACAGCTAATTTGCAACCAAAAGGTGAGTGAGCGTAGCGGACGAACTTCAACCTGGAGACGAGTGAGCGTAGCGAACGAGCTAACCTGAAGGGAAGTGAGCGCAGCGAACGAGCTCCAACCTAAAGGTGAGTGAGCGTAGCGAACGAACTTCAACCTGGGGGCGAGTGAGCGTAGCGAACGAGCTAACCTGAAGGCAAGTGAGCGCAGCGAACGAGCTCCAACCTAAAGGTGAGTGAGCGTAGCGAACGAGCTCCAACCCAAAGGTGAGTGAGCGTAGCGAACGAACTTCAACCAGGACGTGATTGAGCGATGCGAACGAGATCATCTTGAAAATTAAACGTAACGGTACTTTCTTTCCATCGGTCTGTCTTAGGGGAAACCTATAACTTAGGCGATACGAAGTTCGCCGGGTCAGCTAGTATATATATATATATATACATTACTGTATTAAACACATGAAAATTAGAATGTATCATGATAGAATAATTTAGGTAAAAGATTTTATTAGTATAAACCAACTAGAAGTAAACAATAACAATTAACACATGATAATATAAATCTAGAATTACAACTGTTAGTAGAGCTAACTGTTGTATCCGCTAGTGGGTGGGGTGTCCAGAATAAATACTCGGGCGTGATGTTATTTGGGTTCATTTATTAAGCGGATAAGCAAATAAATACAAATTATAATATCTTAATAAAACATGACTACGCTAATATCACAGAGAAATCCCCATTATTAAAAGGGTATAATTTAGAGGGAGGGCTACCTACTACTGAACCAAGGGTCGGGCAATGTAAATCTCCTATTAGCCTATCACCACATACCTGCTAATATCAGCGGGAGAATCATGACCAGCTAGTTGTTGGCTGGGCCGCGCCTAGGCTGACTCTGACTGTAAGTTGGTGGTTCACAAGGACCGACCATATCTAACCTCAAGGTGGTGGGGGTTGTGACGCAAATGCTGGTTTCCAGAATTACCTCAAACCACATTTGGTACTGGATATAATGTTGCAAAATCTCAAAGTTAAAAACTACTTTTGGCTGAGCTCCCTGCTCCAAATATAAACGGAATCAAACTGTAAACTAATAAATTAACCCATGTGAATACACAACATTCGCCCCTTCTTTCTAAAAGTGAGACCACACTCAGGTGGTCTAACTTTTACCAAAAATAAAAAATTTTGAAAGAACTATGTGTTTTGTTTATGTTAAATGATCCTTGGCCCTTACAATTATAGGAGATACTCTAAGGGGAATTCTCTGCTTGTCTAAGCATTAAAGCTACACCATAGCAATGTCAAAACAAATATCTAAAATATTCTATGGTTAAAGTATATTCATATTTGATACGAAATTACAACAACAAAGTCACAACAGAGATACAGGCTTATCATTGACCGGCTTCCCGCAGTGATTACGCCTGCGGTGGCACACGCCGCCTCAGTGAAACAGTTGGACATCTACAACTGTATGCACAGTGAAATGATGAATCATAATTTTGATTTAAATGTAAATTAACAAATCCAATATGATAAAAATAGAAATAATTAATACTTTGCCTGATCTCATAAGCGACTATCTCTGCTAAATATTACCTAAATGTCCTAACATATACACAATAAACCACACGACAATGATAATTATGTTATTAAAATTGGCAAATGAATAAGCAAAATACAATACGAATACCAGTTAACACACTATAACACGCTAATAAACTTTTCCATCTACAAAATGCATCTCTTCTCTTCCCCGCTTAACATAGCGCATCCCTATCTGAACTACAATACACCCTGACTAATTAGCCAATACTCCATCTCTATTAAATCAAACTCCCAAAATAAACACAAAGAAATACAATACATCAATTTAAATCACAAAGTAAACGCAAGACTATAATTGATTAATTCAAACCACACAATCCATCAATGTAACCACAAATATTTTTATTTTATTTTATACTTTTACTATTTTTTTTTTTTTTAATTCTTTCTCTTTATATATATACATATACCTTATTCTTTTACACACACACACACCAAACAACTACCCTACTTATTACATCATATTATTATACCTTTGGTGAAACATTTTATATTTCCAAAATTAAACACCACTTTCTGCTTCTATACCCCGACAACCTTTATGCATATTTAAAATTGATTTTAACTATCTTTATGTCTCAAAACTCATACAGCAGCCGTCACTGGCTACGTTGACTATGTTCACACCATCAGACACAATCAGGAATGTTGTGGGCAACTAGTTATCTGAAATATTTGCCTCAAGGACAAGTAAATAAACAATCCTGGAGTTGGAGTTCTGTTATCTGTATTGGCGACAACAGCTGTTTGGCACAGACCACACTACTGGCCTTCAAAGATAACACTTCTGCATACCAGGTCTATTTAATGAATGACCAACAATGTCGAGGGGGTAAAGACCTCCACTCACCTCGCAGACTACAGCTGTCTCCGTAGTACTGTCACCATGTGTCAATGCTTACTTTTGCCCAATTGTGACAATCCCTTGACGTATCCACATTAATGTGTGACTAAACCAATTACCACGTGATTCCCGAATTGTGCTTAATGGCTGTTCACAAAATAAATAAACTACCAATTAACAACAAAGGGTATATCCACAGTTAATGGAACATCCTAACGTTATGCATTCACACTCCATAATCCATTCATACAGACATTTTGCCTATTTTAACACTTTTTTTTTCAAACACTATAAATACTTCATTACACATTTAACATTCCACAATTAATTCATAAACACCAAAATATCTAAGATAGCACCCTCAAACTTAAATTATAAATAATACAACCTTCGCTTAAACACTTAAGGAACATACAACCCGTTGCATTAATACTGCTTACAACCTGAGGTAGACAAGGAGGACAAATAACCCTGAGGACGGTATAACATGACTAAAGGGACCGCTTGAGCCTCAATTGGCAGGGTGCGGTTACCCAAAACGAACAGGCAATCTTTTAGGACCTGTCCGGTCACTGGGGTGGCTCTTAACGCCTCGAATGGCATGTGGCTATTACGTGACAATTTTGAATTTTGATTACAATGAATTTCAATAGATTCGGAAAGACACATGCTTAGAGACCCGCCGTCATCATCAATTGACAATTACTGCCAACATCAATACATTGCTCATATCACCGCAGCGTTACTTCATATTTATTAACTGGGATTCGGTAAATGCACATGCTATATGTACACTTAGCGAACCCGGTACGCGTACATACCACACGTATGTACCGCACCCGGGTCAATACTAACGCGTTTAGCACTGATCTTGGTGCTTACCATTTTGCTGCGGCTACAACATAATACATTACTTAAATTCTACAATACCATAATGCACGCAAAATAACACAAATATTGCCCTTCACTCACTACACTTGCACATTCACACGAATTCACCGATTTGGCGATACTTCTGGGGTTACAAATTGGTTTCTTCTTGAGCTGAGGTCTCCGCCAGGTGGACTTCTGCTGCTTGTGAACGGTCGAGGGTGGACATGAGATTGATTCCTGCGTGGCTGCTCCATCGGACCCCTGCACTTGGAATGATTGCTCTCCGGTACATGGTTGGAGTCGGGCTAGGCACCTCGCTGTCTACAGTTGATGATGGTGGTCCCGTCTGGGCTCCCTGACAGTGGCTGATCACCCAAAATAGCTGGACGACCCTTCCCAACGGCTTTCGACAGTAGCAGGTCAAACAAGCGATGACGCACAAAATGATTACTGTGCCAGCTCCCCAGGCTACCTTCCGCACCGTTTGCGCCGCTTTCAGGTCTCTTTGCTGTATCTGTATGTGCTCCAATACTGAAGTTAGGTGGGAATACGTTGACCCAAAAGTACTTGCAGATCTGACGACTTCTTCAATCGGCTTCAGCTCTGTAGTGTTACGTGTTTGGATGACGTACGACTGCACCAGCGCCTGCTCTTTGATGTCCAAGAGTGTCTCCAATTCTGGCAGAACTATGGATTCTCGAAAATTCTTGAATTTCATAAAACCAGTGCTATATGGAAGAAGCGATAGGTTGCTGTTGAAAATGTGACAATGAGACGAATTTTGTAATATTCCAGTCCCGTTGATTCTGATCGTTGTTTGTCTCACTTCATTTCTGCATTCAAAAGTCAATGTTATTGCTGTTGTTGTGCTGTACACCCACAGCCCTTGCGACGGCACCTGGTGAAACACAGTGTCCATTGGTCCATGATGCACCCTCCTCTGACAGACTCCTGGGATCGTCGTTCCTCGCTCGGCTAGCAGTTGAGCTT